GTATATCAAGGTGTGTTCAGAGAAGTCTTGTTTTCATTCTTGGCCTTCACTCTGTGCCCTCATTCCTCCTGAGTGTAACCATCTTTATCCCTGGTTCTTTTTCAGTGCTGCTTTTTGCATAAGCAAATACATATACATATAAATATACATGTATGTTATATGTATGTGTGTTGGTATTTATATATATGTGTGTGTATATATGTATAAATATAATTACTTTTTTTTCAAAGCTATTATTTATGCTGTATAAAATTCCACTATACATTAGACAGTCTTCTACTCTTGCTTACATAGTAAACAGCCCATTGGCTCAGTTTTAAAGATCTTCCCTGGAGAAGGGTGTCAGTTCTGTTATACTCAAGGTATCTTTCTCTGACTCCTTCTCCTGGGAGCACTGGAAAGCTCCAGCCTCCCAGGGGCACAAGCCAGGGCCAGCCGTGTGGTAAGTGTAGAGCTCCATGCACAGGGCTCCATGCATTGAGGCTGAGCAGCATTACTTTGTGTTTTTATCCAATCACTCAGGGCAAAATCAAGCCCATGAGAAATAAGCATCTGACTGAGGCAGGATGTCCCAAAACACCCAGGATCCAGCTCCCAGGCTCCGCTTGCCAGTGCATTCTTAACAAAAAGGTAGCATATTAAAATTATATCTTAGTGATCGTTTCATATCAGTTTATAAAGATCTTCCTTCTGCCTTGTTGTAACTGTAGAGTGTTCTGTTCTTAAGGTACCATAATTTATTCAGCCAGTGCCTTATTGATGAGCATTTGAATTGTCTGCAGTTTTTGGTAATTATAAATTATGCCAAATGAATAACCTAGTATACAAGTCATTTTGTATTTTTTGCCAGAGTACCTCTGAGATAGATTCCTAGAAATGGAATTGTTGGATCAGAGGGTAAAGTTAGAGATTACCAAATTCCCTCTTTAGGGGTTATGCCATTTTGCATTCCCAACAATGTACAAAAGTACCTCTTTCCTATAGTCTTGCCATTTATTGTCAAAGTTTTAAAGTAATGTCTATCAGATAGGTGAAGAGCAGTATCTCTGCCTGATTTTAACTTGTAATTCTCTTACTATGATTAC